TCACAGAGTATGGACCATAGGAAACCAAAGTGTGCATGCTTGGAGCATGGGACAATTGTGGTTATAATTCGAGTAATAAGTTGATTGTCTGAAACAGTAAACAATGAATAATGAGTAATCAATATGGTGTTTAAATAAAAGTGTTTTTATTTACGCTCAAAAGTTTTGGGGCCATATAGGATTAATATTATTATTGCGTTTCACTTTGCATGTTTTGACTTCCAGAATAACTAGGTTATTAAAACATCCACAGTCGGTCATACGTTGGAAGTAGGTATGAAGGAAGACTGTCATGAATCTGTCTGTAGATTGTCTAAAGTGTTTAGACATAGCACAAGTTTGCTGCAGAGTTCATGAGTGCTTTGATAAGATTAGAGTATTGGATTAAACCCACGCTCATTTGAATCACTTCATGGTTTTTATCACGAGTGATTGGTGAGACGATAACATTGTATATTCTTGAAACCGAGACGTGTGAGTTGTTATTTGCTGGTCGGTTGCACATTGACAATAAGTAAACGTACCAGTAACTTGGTGTTATAAAACTTATTGTTGTGTGTGATTCGATTAGTAGGTGCAAGCAAGCATTTGAGTCGAAGTTTATCCATTCCTTTTACCCAAGGTGGGATAAAAGCGATATCTGTGGGCCCCTCGATAATTTAGTGATGACAAAGGAAAGTGCTCGGCCGGGCCAGGACTGATTTGATTTGTTCAATTAGTCAGTCGTCATAAATCGGAAATCGGGAAACGACACATAGACTGAGAGAATGATTTCAATCCATGTCTCATGTCTATACGATATCTTGTAGAATGGAGGAATATATGATCCCTTATCTAAAGGACACGCGTATCTGATAAGATCAGAGTTGACAGCGCTTTTGGAAGCTACGATTGCTGATCAGGTTCTGAAGTCATACGCAGAATAGTTATTAGACTTATCCAAGTGGGAGACTGTTGGATTAGTGTCTAAGTCCATAACTATTTTGGTATTTACTTGACCCGATTGTGAGCATGGTCCTTTTGGGTTGCCTTCACACTGGTGACTAGACAGGATGACAGTTGAGGAGAGAGGTTGATTAGGGCATAAATATGATTTATTTATTATATTATATGATTAATATAATAATTTGGAATCATATTATTAATTAGTATTTAATCAGAAATTAATTAGGAATTAACTTCGGGATTAAAGGAATTAATTAAAAGTACAGGGGATGTTTTGTAATTATTTGATAGTTGAGACTTTGGGCTATTGGATCACTTTTATTAAGGCTTGAACGAAAATCCTAGAAGGATCTAGGAGTTTTCGTCCAAGGGCTTAAGGAAAGGAGTCCATGGACTTGCTTAGGCCCTAAGCTAAGGGATTAGGGTTTCCACCTTGAAACCCTAGCTAGCCTCAAGTATAAATAGCACCCTAAGGCACTAGAATTCGTCCAAGCCTTGGGAAACCCTAAAAGGGAAGAATTTTAGGGCAAGATATCCTTCTCTCCTCTCTCCCATATTCATCCTTTCACCTAGTGTGTTTGTGAGCCATTAGAGGTACTACACTTGTGGTACTTGCTTTCAAGAGCTAAGGAAATTCAAGGAACTAGTTGTTATTACTACATAACAACAAAAGGTATGTATTATATTCTCCTATGTCAATTTCGAAAATAGTAGATGCATGCTAGGGTTCTTTTGTGTTCATAAAGTTGTATAACTAATAGTGAAAACATAGATCCAACTCTAGGGTTGCATGCACACATAGGATTGTTTGTATAAAACCCATCAGTTAGACCACAGGGGTAGCCCATGACATTTCAAGGAAAGACCATGGGTGTAGCCCATGACACTTGGTTGTAAGACCTTGGGGGTAGCCCATGACATTCCAGGGAAAAGACCATAAGGGTAACCCCTTGACACATGTATGCAAGACCATGGGGGTAGTCCATGGCAATGTATGTATAATATGTGGTATTTTGGGGGACTCGCTAAGCTTTGTGCTTACGATTTATGTTTACAATGTTTTACAGGTACTTTTAGTCCGAAAGGGAAAGGACCGACATGATTGTTGGATTAGGTGTCTAAGCCCATAACTATAATTGGTATATACTTGAATTGATAGTAGCACAAATGCTTTTGGGTTGCCCTCAAAACTAGCAACTAGACATGATGACTTTTGGAGAGAGAGGATGAATTTATTATTTGACTAATAAATTGAAATAAATGATTTATTAATGTATTATGAAAATAATATATTAATTAGAAATCATATTATTTAATTAATACTTAATCGGTAATTAATTGGAATTAATTTTGGGATTAAAGGAATTAATTAAAGTGTAGGGGCTGTTTGGAAATTTATTGATAGTTGAGGAAAGAGGCTCTAGAACCTCCTTAGAAAGGGTTGGACGAAACCTCTAGGAAGGCCCTAGAATTTTCGTCCAATGGATTTTGGATGGGAGTTCATGGGTTGCTTGGTCCTTCAGCTAAGGAATTAGGGTTTCCTCCTAAAATTTAAGCTTTGGCTCTAAGCTACCTCACTATATAAGGAGCCTTACCTCTTCTCATTTTCGGCCACTTGATTCCTTATAGGAATAGCCGAAATTCCTAGCACTCAACTCCTCTCTCCTCTCTCATCCTCTTGCTTAGTTTGGGTGTGAACCATTAGAGGCGTGATACTTGTGACGCTTGCTCTCAAAGTTCAAAGAAGACTACGATTTCATTGTTATTGCTATATAAAAATTAAGGTATGTTTTTCGTAACCCTATTAGTGATTTCGAAATTATACTACTAGTATTAGGGTTTCGCAATTAATGTTCAAATGTTGTATGTTCAATTAGCGAAAACAAAGATCAGGAAATTAGGGTTGCATGCACACATAGGTTTTTGTTTGTTATACTCAAAACCCATCAATGGTATCAGAGCCTTGGATTGTTTTCTATTGAATTGATTGTAATTTTTGAATTGATTAAATTAGGGTTTATGACAACTAAACCCTAATGGACTAGGGTTTTATTGAATTGATCAAATTAGGGTTTATGGCAACTAAACCCTAATGGACTAGGGTTTTCGAATTTAGGGTTTCTTTGGCCCTAAGGTTTCGAAATTTAGGAAAGGGTTGAAACCCTTTCCCTTGCCCTACAAGTTTCGAAATTTAGGGGTTCCTTAACCCTCCATAATTTCGAATATGGCAAGGATTGAGATCCTTGCCTTCCTCCCCAAGATTTGCCAAATTTTCGAAGATAGGGTTTATGGTAGGGATTTATTATTTTTGGTAATTATCTTCTTATTTTATTAATAGGGTAATTATAAGATTTGATTTATCCCTCCAATGATTTTCGAAATTTAGTGGGGAGTGGATTAGGTTAAATTATCTTGATTAATTTAATTGAATAATCCTCAAATGGTTTAAATAAATTAATTAAATGTTTAATTAATAAGATAATTATTAAATCATTTGTTTTTAAATTTTTTAAATTTAAATTAAAATTTCTTTAATTTCGAAATTAAAGATTTAAAAACCCTTGTATTTTGAAAAGTTTAAAATACATCCTTATGGATCTTATTATTAATTTAATTAAGTGATTAATTAAAAGATAACAAATAAATCCATAAAAGGTTTAAATTTAATTAAACTAATGGTTTAATTTATTAAAATATTAAACCCTTGCTATTTTAAAATGTTTTAAAACACACCTAATACTATATGTAAAATTAAATGTTTAATGTTTACTATATATATAAGACTAAGTCAGTCGAACCGCTAGTACGCCCCATTCACGAAGTCGATCTATAAGGGGAGTTTAAGGAAGCGACCTATAAAATGACCGTTATAGGGTACAATGAGGCGAAACTCACCTGAATGAAGAAACCCGAGAATACCGCGATCCATTCCCTGCTACACTGATTGCTCCCGCGGATCCACTTGTTGGATAAGGTGTCTAAGTCCATAACTATATTTGGTATGTACTTGACCCGACCCGGCATGGTCCATTTAGGTTGCACTTCACCGGAACAATTTGTATGGATAGTCTTTTGAGAATAGTATATTTATGATTTATTAATATATTATAAGCTATAATATATTAATATGAAATCATATTATTTAATTAGTACTGATCAAGAATTAATTTGGAATTAATTTAGTGATCAAAAGGAAACTAATTAAATATGGACTCTTATATATATATATATATATATATATATATATATATATATATAGAATGGGCCAATGTTCATTTAGGATGGGCTAAGCTTGCATGGATAGTCCATGCCTCCATGGAGCTTTTAACCCATTGATCCTATGGAAATGAAAGGGTATGGGTATTAGGGTTTACATGGATGTAACCCTAATCCACCATACTATATAAAGGAGTCCTTGGCACTTGAAATTGGCACTAGTGTGTGAGATAAGAAAGCATAGCCGATTTTTAGAGTGCTTCATATTCTCTCAAGTTGTCCAAGTTGTTGTGGTGATTTGTGATTCCACTTTAGGCATTCATATTATTGGTGCTAGGCTCTTAAAGCTCCAAGAAATCAACCACAAGAAAAGGTATGTCATTCTACTAGTTTTTATGTTACATGTACCCCATTCACATGCTAGTTAGGATGAACCTTCGAAAAATTGATATTTGCATGTATAATAAAGAAAACATAGATCCAAGGTTTCTAGGGTTGCATGCATACCATAGGAGTGTTAGAATGCTCAAAACCCATCAGTGGTATCAGGGACTAGGCTTCTTTTCTTTATACTTGATGCAAATTGCTAAAAAAAGTCGAATTTCTGCTCACTGTTCAGTGAACTCGCCTAGTCCATGGGGGGAGGGGACTTGACGAGTCCATGTTTACTGGAGAGATGAAAACTGCTGAAGCCAGAATTGAAGAAAGCCATCCACGAGTCTGCAATTTCACTCATTGTTTTCTCAGAAAGCTATGAATCCTCCAAATGGTGTCTCGATGAGGTTATGATGATTATTGAAGAACACAAGACTTTGTCCTTTAAACATCAATTTGTATCTATGTTCTACAAAGTGGAACCATCTGATGTTCAAAATCAAACCGGATGCTTTAAAGATGCATTTGATGTGTATGATGATGAAGTCAACTTAGAAACAAACCTTCGAAAGAAGAAAAAACTGTTAGAGAAGGTGGGAGCATGGACAGATTATCTTAACAAAGCTGCAACCTTTACAGGATTGGTATATAAAGATGGGTACGCATGCTTCCTTAAATCATGTAAAGAAAAAACTCACTAGTGTGTTATTTAGAATTGGATCTTGATCCTCATCTCACATGAGATCCAATATTTATATGTAAACAAACTAATCCATTGATCCAGTTGACTCCTGTCTATATGGATTGGATCTATAAAAATATTGAAATAAAATTATGAGTATTTTGGAAAAACAGAAATAATTTTTTCTTCAACCTCTTTCTTGAATACAATAAATAAAAAATAATAAAAGTATTTTAGAAGACTTTCTATGGATAAAGATAGTATTGGGTTCAAACCAAGTTTTAAAAAAATGTTGGTCTTCTATTATTTAATGCTATTTTTATCAAAAAAAATTTGCTTATATATGAAAATTTATAATTTTATATTCTCTATATATCCACATTAATATTGTTATATTTTTTATATATTATATATTTTTTTAATGAGATTTGCTCATGTATATTATTTACATGTGAATAGATATTGCATTCAATTTTTAGTACAATTGGTCATGTGAATAACAATATTATTACATGTGAATAAAAATCATATACATACTTTATGTTTATTCAGATATGAATAATACTTATGAGTTATGACTAGAGCTGGTATAAGAAAATAAAAATTTTGTATCTATACTAAAAAAACTATATCAATATAAATGTTTATTTACAGAGAATGAAAATTCATGAATTTTGATATATTGGATTTTCAATAAAATAAATTTTCAAAAATTAATGGTTGAGATTTATTCTCATAATCTCAACAATTTTTCCGTTACTTTGAACTTTAAAAGATAAAGATAGGATATAGGATTTTCAATTTTGAAGATTGTATTGTTCAAATAAAGATGCATCTTTCATTCATATATATATATAATACACAAGTACATTACAAATCTAATTTCTTTAATTTGAACTTTCTAGGTACGAGTCCAAATTCATAATCAATATTCTAAATGTTGTAATAAAGAAAGTGGACAACAAGGCCCTACACATTGAGGAGAAACTAGTGGGAATAAAGGACCATCTTGCTGAGATCCAATCATGGTTAAAAGATCGGTCACCTGATGCAGTAGTCCTTCTCATTGATGGGATGGGAGGCATTGGGAAATCAACCATATCCAAATGCAAGTTGCTTTCTGGCAGGTATTAATAAGGAGACGTCGAATAAAAATAGTACACTCAATCGCTTCCAGAGTCAGCTTCTTTCCACTATTTTAATTAAGGAGTGAAAAAGAAGAAACTATATGGAATGTTGATGAAGGAACCAATAAGGTGCAAATGCCATATCCAACAAAAAGGTACTTCTTATCCTTGATGATGTTGCAATAATGGAACACTTATATGCCTTACTAGGACCGAAAAAGTTTTATCCTGGAAGTATAGTGATCATAACAACTAGGCACACATGGTTGTTGACTGCTTTCAAAGATCATGGTAAGGTCCACTCCCTTGGAACATTATCCATGGGCGACGCTACTGAGCTCCTTAGTTTGCATGCCTTTGGTCAACACCAACCCATTGAACCCTATATTGTCCACTTAGAATTAGTTGTTCAACGTTGCAAGGGCCTTCCTTTGGCTCTTAAAGTATTGGGATCTTCCCTACGTGAAAAGACAAATGATGAATGGGAAGATGCAATTCACAAACTGGCTGCAATTCCTCATCGTGAGATTCAAGAAGTTCTGCAAATAAGCTATGAAACTTTGGCAGATGACAAGGATAAAGGTTTATTTTTGCATATTGCTTTCTTCCTCGAGGGTGAGGAAAAAGACTACATTGTGAAATTATTGACTGAATGTAATCTACACCCTGTTGTTGGGATCAAGAATCTAATGGATAAATGTCTAGTTTATGTTGAAGATGGGAGAGTGATGATGCATCAATTAATCAAGGAGATGGGATGAGAAGTTTGTTAGAAATTCAGGGTAATAAAGGCACTTGGATATTCTGAGTATTGTGATTTCACTATCAAATCAAAGTATTGGGTGGTACTCCCTAATATTTGATTGGATAAGACTCAGAAGAGAAAAAAACAGAGAATGAGATATATGAATTTTGTAAGTACCAGAAAAAACTGACCAAAATTGGTTAAATACTTCCTTTGTCTGAAAATTGTCAAAACTGTCAAAAAACAGTTTGGCAACAGTCAAAAAACAGCTCGATCCCAGCTAGGGGCTCTGCCCCTTGGACCCCGCCAGGGGCTGCCGCCCCTTGGTCCCCGCTCCCAGGGGCACTGCCCCCAGACCCCTGTTCATTCAGGGGCTTCGCCCCTAAATGACAGTCTACTTTTAATCTTGAATAAACTTAAACAAGTGTGCACTCCACACCTTCCTTACATGTTTAATATTTATCAAGATCACTCTTGGTCAACAAAGTAATCCCATTACACTTAAATCACATTAGTGAAACAAATCACCAACAAAGTTGTTCGCCAGGAATCAGAAAAGGAACCTGGGAAAAGAAGTAGATTATGGGACCATCAGGACTGTATTAATGTGTTGCAAGACCATACCGTATGCTTACACACCCCTTTTGTATATTATTACTTTAGTAATTAGTAATCATGCATGTTGAGCCATAGTTTACCTTTTTGAATTTCTTAACTAGGGTACAGAAACTGTAGAAGGACTCACGCTTGATATACAAAAGTTCATGGAAGCCGAATCAAGAAATGATGATGCATATTTCCAAATTAGTGCCCTGGAGAAGATGAAGAGTCTAATTCTACTTCAACTTAAAAATGTATTATTTTATGGGAAATACAAGATGTTTCCCAGAAAGTTACGATTGTTGAGTTGGCATGGATTTTCTCTAAAAGATATACCAAGTGACATTTCATTGGAGAAGTTGGTGATACTTGACATGAGCTACCGAAAATTAACACGTGTTTGGGATAACTTCATAGTATGTCACCATTTCAGTTTTGGAGTGTTTGTTAATCAAATTATTATAAGATGTTTATATAGAAAGTTCTTTATATAATTGTGCTTGTTAGTTATCAAGCTTTTTGCAACCATACAATTTTATAAGATGTTTATGTAGAAAGTTCTTTATATAATTGTGGTTTTTTGTGTCACGGTACATTGGATCCTTAAAAATCCTTAATCTTAGCTATTCATTTGACCTAATTGAAACCCCTGATTTTGGCGGACTCCCTAATCTGGAGAACTTGATCCTGAGACATTGTTGGAGTTTAATGAAGGTTGGTGAATTGATTCCATACCTTAAAAAACTAAATTCGTTAGATCTAACCAATTGTAGAAGCTTGAGGGATCTTCCATGCTTACCTAGATCTATTGAATCGCTTCAAATATCTGGTTGCAAAAATCTAAAAGTTCTTGGATCGATTGCAGACCTTACGAAACTAGGCTCATTAGATCTAAGCGATTGTGAAAGCTTGAGGAATCTTTGGTGCTTGCCTAGTTCCATTGAATGGCTTTATATGAATGGATGCAAAAAGCTTAAAGTTCTTGGATCGTTTGCAAACCTTACATAACTAAACTCATTAGATCTAACCGATTGTGAAAGCTTGAGAGATCTTCCATGCTTACCTAGATCCCTTAATTATCTTAAATTGTATGGTTGCAAAAAACCTTGAAGTTCTTGGATCGTTTGAAAACCTTATAGAACTGTACTCATTAGATCTAAGCTATTGTATAAGCTTGAGGGATCTTCCGTGCTTACCTAGATCCCTTGACTCGCTTCAAATCTCTGGTTGTGGAGTTCTTGGAAGGGTCGATCAATGCTTGGATTCATTTTCATCACTTTCCTTTTTAACGGAAGTGGATTTGTCACACTCCTATCTCTTTGACAATTCTTTCCCAGATGAATGGAGTAGCCTGGTTGTTGGTGATTTTATATCATCGATGTGTATTTAAGTGTACTGGATGACTTGTTGACCAAATTCAATCTTGATGAATATTAAACAAGTAAGGAAGGTGCGTAGTGCACACTTGTTTAAATTTATTCAAGATTCAAAGTAGACTGTCATTTAGGGGCGAAGCCCCTAAACAAACGGGGGTCCGGGGGCAGCGCCCCTGGGAGCGGGGTCCAAGGGGCGGCAGCCCCTGGCGGGGTCCAAGGGGGCAGAGCCCCTGGCTGGGGTCGAGCTGCTATATGAGTTATATTTCTATACAAAAAATGCCTTAGAAATCTGAATTTTCTATAAATGAACCCGGTTTTTGACTTCATTTTGACCTTTATTAAAATCCGTTTTAGTGACTGTTATTGGTTTTGACAGTTGGAGTAGTTTTTTGACAAAGAAAACTGCATTGACAGTTTTCAGACAAATGAACTACTTAATCTTTTGGTCATCATTTTTCTGGGTACAGCAACAATCACGAAATTCATAACATCCATATTTTCAGTTCTTGATCTCAATTCTGAGTCTTATCCGATTAAAGATTGGGAGTACCACCCAAATACTTTAATTTAAAAGTGAAAGCACAATTCTCAGAATTTCCAAAGCTATTTTATCCCGAATTTCTTACACTAGTCTCACTCGTGAAGTTGAATATAGATGGCAACAATATAACCTTCTTACCAAAATGTGTTCAAACCCTACCTAGAATTGAAGAGCTCAGAGTCTCACATTGTTCAAAACTCCATTCAGTTCTAAGTCTCCCAAATTCCGTCAATGAACTGTTTGTCAATGACAATGAATCTTTGGAAAAAGTACAGCCTGCAGAAAATTCAAGGACCGTAGTGCACCACATGAACTGCCCAAATTTGTGTGAGATCGAGGGTCGTTATAAGATTCAGTCAATAGATAAAGTTGAGAGGAAAATTATACGGTATTTGGGATTAGAATCAAATGCATGTGAAGGAATGGAGATGGATCTTGAGGTGCTTTCTCTTTCTCTATCTCTTCTTTGCATATTTGTTTTATAAGCTAATGCCGAGAATCAAACTCAATAACTAATAAGGTGTCTGTGTGAGTGTGTCACACGTGTTTCATGAGTTTGGCATATTCAGCACATTTGTTTCAGAAAAACAAACCCCTTCTTATTCCTGCTTCGCGTATAAAGAAATGGGCTCACGAATTTCATTTAAAGTTCCATCGTATAGTAATAGTTTGAGAATAATTGGCTTTAATATGTGTGTCGTTCTTTCTCTATCATTCTTGAAAAAGGGTCTTGATCTAGAGATTGGAGTACAAAACAAGACCAAATATTTGTTGTGGAGTTACTTTAAAAGAGATCAAAATATCCGTAAGAATGCAGGAAAGTTCGCATTGTTATGCCTTTGGAGGTGTGGCAATCTATTGGAGGGTGGAGATGAAATCATCATACGTGTATTTTCTCGTATAATACATGTAGAGGAATGTTGTATAAACCTTATATACGAAGATTATGAAGAATTACTTGATGAAGAAAGAAAGGAGGCTCATGATGTCACTGCCTTTGATCAAATGTTGTGGACTGATAGAATGGATAAAGATATATCGCATTATGCTTTCCCATGGAAGAAACATGTGTTCCGAGATGACCATCTGGAATATAATGCAAGAAAAGAAAAATAGGAGAGACCAACAATCTCCTACCCCGTTAATAGCCCCCAAGACACGAGCCTGGTGGTTGACACATGGTATTTCATATAGGGGATTCAAGGTTCAAACATTGCATGTTTCTAGTTTTCTTGTTGCTCTATCAAATGAAGGCATTGACAAAATTAAGCCAAAAATCAAAGATTATGTCTCCTGGTTCCTCTTGGATGTGGATAATTAATCTTCTTCTTGGATGCCATATCAGTGCTACTGGGAAACTCTTACTATCTTATTGGATACACCTTTCCTTTGATCAAACATGCCAATGGTCTCATTGTCCCTACACCTCTTGTCCAAATTACAACTACCTGCAGGTTGAAGTTGGTGCCAAAAACAACGACCCTGGTCTGCCAAAAAATGTGTGGAATGGTGGGTCACTTAAAGCACAAAGTTGAGAGAAAAATTCAGGTGCCTTCTCTCAACTTTCTCTATCTCTCTCTAATTTGCATATATGTTTTTAGGCTAATGATGACAATCAAACTAAATAACAAATGGAATGTGTGTCACAGGTTTTACATGAGTTTGGAATATTGAGCACATGTGTTTCAGAACATCTATTTGGAGGTGTGTCATTCTATTGTAGGGTGGAGATCACATTGTTGGTCCATCTACTTGTAACTTTTATGTGTGGCCACAGTGGCATCGTTTACCATCTTAAGGTGCATATTCATTTTGGATTCACCTATTAGAGACTGTATATTTTCTAAATTTTATTGATATGTCATGTCCTTGTGGTTTTCGTCTCAAATCATTTCTTCAAGATTTCTTTTCAACTTCTTCAATTCCTTCAATTGCTTCAATTTTTGGGTGATTTTGGATCAGAATTTTTAAGGTCCTTACCTTAATCTTGAATTTAGACATGATTAGGGTTTATGGATTTGGGATAGCTGATGGATCTTGATGCATGTTGAATCTTTTGTTCAAAAATTTGTTAAAATTTTTACGTAACAACAAACACACAAAAGGTTTCAGCAATTAATAACCCACATTCTTGAAATTTATGATTTATTGCAACACCCGTAAATTGACAAAACAGGTTTTTGAACACTTGGAATGTTGATATTGACTGAAGGTATTGTAAATATGTTATTATGGTAGTATGATGCTATACCATGTACGTAATGCTAATATAACTTTCAAAGTATGATGCTATAACGTGCTGAAGTTTCCTAATTAAAGTGGTGATATGTATTGAATGGTGGCTTTAGAAGCATTCCCTCTGCAATAAATCTCATATCAATCGTCCCCAATTCCCTAATAATTGAAGTTGTGATGTGTGTGTTTTTTGTTTATTTAGAGTCAGTAATCTTTGTTTTGTTCTAAAGGGTAACTTTCAACTTGTAGTTTAGTTGCAATTTGCAAATGGCCATTCGCGCCCTCATCCACTTGCTCCATTGGTAGGCAGCAGTTGTTTCTTTGTTTTCCAGTAATAGAAATATTATCATTTTAGGCAAACACAACTTTGACTTTCTTTGATGGTCAAATATTAGACATCAAAAATGGAAATCTCATATCCTAATAAATAAGAGCTTTCTTGCCACGTGGCAATTTCTAAGCCCCTAACAATCGATTTTTCCCGCTTTACTCTGTAAAGTGAAATACCAACACTGCCCTTGTCCTTAGCCCTTATCCTTACGTTACGATTATGATTACGATAAACTCCATTTTACCTCTGATACTTCTCCGATGTTTCTTCTTCTCAGGTATACTAGGGCTTATGTTGAATTGCGATTACTCCCTCATAAATGGTGAAAAGGACGCCCATATGCCCTCCGGCGCCACAATTTCCGTTCTTGTAAACATCGATATTCTTTGCGCAACTTTACTCATCTAGGTTAAGTTGTTACTCCCACATCTTGATTCGGCCAGACACACCAACGACAACGTTCTACCTCCGGCCACATGGTTCGATTTCTGATTTCAACTTCAATTTTTGACTTTGCATGTTCGATTTGTGAAACATCCTTCTGATCCCCAACAAGATAATCAAATCCCCAAATATCATTAAAAGTAGGGTTCCGCGGTTCTGAATTAGATTTCAATGGGTTCTATTGTGAAATCAGAGGAGGAATGGCGTGCAGTTCTCTCCCCTAAATAGTTCCGCATCCTTTGCAACAAAGGAACCGAGTAAGTATACTACTTATCCATTGCATTCTTTCTATATTCGATGATTAGATTCCTAAACCGTAATAATGCTTTATCAATTTCTGTAGGAGAACTGATCATTTAAAGTTTTGCACTTAAATTTAACAAGAATTTGGTTGCGTTTTGGTAACATGTCTACACTCTACAGTTGACTTAACATTATTGCACTCTTAGCAATCGATTTTTATTGTATTTTTCGGCTGTGATTGGGAGAGCCCATCAACTTGACTCCAAATTCTAATTTGGGGCTTCTCTACTTCATAGACTCTACAATCTCCATAACCTTAGTTGCAATGCAGCATATAATTTTGTATAATTTTTCCAATTGAATTTCTGAGAATTGATGGATTTGACTCCAAAATTCAATCTGGGGCTTCTCCATTGTTTATATTGATCAGCAGATTTGGAAATTAGAGATGTATTTACATCTTAGGAAAGAAAGACAAAATGTAAAAAGCATTATAATTTTCAAAATAACCGTAAAATAAAATTAGAGATGTATCCACAACTTCGTGTTATGCAGAATACCAAGGTCTGTAATTTTATAAATATGTTATGAAACTTGTGTATGTGGGCCTGTTTGTTTTATATTTCCCATTAAGTGGTTCTTAACCTTAAACTTAAGTTAGTGATTACATTATATAACAAACATATCAAAATTCATAACCCTAACATGTATAAATCTATCATGAAAGTCGTTAATCAGAAGTTTTGGTGAAGCTATGATCTCATGTTTTGTTTTGTGTTGGGCTGTAGGAAGCTCCTGCTATTGTGAAATCTTACTATGACCAAAGAATTGTTGGTTGCCTTGGTGCAGAAGGGGGCGAGTCTTATTTTTTCTGTAGTTTTGGAGACTGTAGTGGTATCATTATCATATAATATCTCATTTTATGTAATTTTTCTGTTAAAGAGGATGAGCATGATGTTGTTTGGTTTTGGCTAAAGAAAGGAGAAACAAATGAATGCCCAGTCTGCTCACAATATTTCAAGGTGAGTGCAAATTATTTCTTTATAAAAACCATGTGACATTTTATTAAATTGTTGCATATTTAATTATTCATACATTATAAATGTTTTTTTGCAGTTGGAAGTAGTGGGCCCACGAGGACTTCCAGATGGACTCTGACGAGGATGAACATCATCATCACTGATTGAATTTTCCACCTTTAAAAAATATGCCGGAATAAAAATCTGGTGAGATTACTGCAGCATCAGGATTTAACAGGTCCTGTCTTTTGTTTTGTTATGCTTGTTTCATATAATTTACTTTTCAACGTGTTGGTTTTTGGTCAAATCAGAGCATACATACGATTTGATTTTTCTTTGTGGATTTTGGGGCATGCTTTCTTCATTGGAATTGTGAATGTCATTGCTTGAATGCATTGAAATAATTAATGGCTTAAAGATTTGGCTCTTAGAGATTCATCAATTTGTTTTGGGAGTATATATCTAATCTTTGTTTTATTTTTGTGTCGTGTCGATCTGTCTGCTTAAATAACCTCTTACTTGAACCTTTGTGTCGAGTTTGTATTGGGTTAACGGGTTTAGACTTTGTAAGCCCAAAACTCAACTCAAAATTAGCTTGCAATGTTTTTACAACGGCCCCAACTAGTTGAAATAATTTAAATCCTTTTACTTTAAGATATTTAAAATAGTTTTATAAATATGTTATGAAACTTGTGTATGTGGGCCTGTTTGTTTTATATTTCTCATTAAGTGGTGCTTAAAAATATTAAATTATAAATCCATTGACTTTAATTTGTTGGTTTAGATTGTTAAACCAATCACAACACATTATGTGTTTGCTTTAGGGGTTGCAAGGTTTCTATGTTGTGCACATTGGATTCTTCAGGTATATTAATTAATATCAATATCAATATATTTTTATTTTTAAACTTCTCATGACACATCATACATACTTATAAAGCAAGCATTTTTTCTTGAATCTCATGCATTTGAAACCCCCTTTTTTAACTTCCTCAAACCACATTCATTTGAAACCCCATTTTTTAACTAATGCAACTCAAAAGTTTTATTAATTATGATTTAACACTCAAAAGTTTTATAACTTATATTATGGTTAATTAGCATTTAGTGAAAATTTTACTATAAAAAGGTCAATCTTTTTGGAAGACATGCATACAAATCATATATAAATTTCAAAAAGAAAACAAACTTAAAGGTTTTTATGCTGGGTTGAGGTCTTATGACCACTTTTGGTGATATATTATTATATTAGAGTTTTTAATTTGTAAGTTTGTTATACTAATTCATTTTTATATTTTCTTCGTTTTTGGATTATGTAATACAGTCGTTGTATATTGTGGTTTAATCGTTAATATATTGATCATATGTTATATAGGGTGATGTCGAAAATATTTAATTAAATATTTTAAATATGTTTTTTTTTTGTTTTGTAATTGTACCGTTTCAAAAAGATAATTAATTAAAACTCATACATATGTTATACTTTCCATCTCTCTCTCTCTCTCTCTCTCTCTATATATATATATATATATATATATATATATATATATATATATATATATATATATAGGTAAAAACACTTCAACCAAAATTCATTTAAAATCTAATATTTCAAATGCTTTTTAATAATGATTGTAAAAATTTCAACATGTGTTACTTAATTGATTGATTAATAAAAATATTAATGATTTGAAACTCCTAACTCTTAAACTTATATTATTTAATTTGTTAGTTAACTAAAATATTTTTCCTACATAAAGATAACATTTTTATGTTTGGTTACTCATATTTGTTTATGTAATTAGAAAACAATGTGTACATAGAATGACTATTTCAATTTCACATAGGAATCAATACTACTAGAGAGGTATGTTGTCTTTAACCGGTGGTAGGAGATCCACATATCCTTTTTAATTATTTGTATTAATGCTTAGTAATATCTATTTTATATTCCTATTCACCTTAATTTTTTAGGTACAAATTAAGGAAGATGATTCTCGGCGCACCAACATAAAGTCAAACGTACGCCTTGCAAAATATGTAATTAAAATTAAATATCATATTTACTAATCGACTTATTTTAAAACTCTTGATGACATTTATGTATAATGATATATTTTGTATGACTTCATTCTTAATTTCAATGTTTAATATTTGAAAGTTCATAAATGAAACCTTGGATATTTTGGTGTAATATAAATAGTGTAATACAAAGTTTATTAGTTCAATATTGTTTATTAATAGCTCATTTAAAACAATTTATTTCTTATTTTATCCAAAAAAATATTATCGGACATAAGAAAAGTATATTATATTAATGTTATACAAAAACTTATAATATATATTGGATATTATAAAAGTAAAAGTAAAGTTTATAAGGTATGAACTATATTAGATAATATCAAAGTATAAGTTGATGAATTTTTATGTTATTTGATAATTCGGTTAATGCCGAAAACATGACTAAAAATGTAAATTTCAACATATTTCTATTTTTTTCCCATAATTATTTTAACCACTTAAATGCATTCTTGCGCAACGCGCGAGGTTACGCCTAGTAATACAATAACTGGGAACATTTTAACATTTGTAAATGCATTATGCACCCAAAAAGAGTTTTATGTGTGTTTATTTTCATGGAAGATGTGTTTTTTGCAACTTTAATAGATGTTTGGTATAATGGAATAAGAGGAAGGGATGGAACGGTTTATTCTACTAGAGTGAAAAAAAAAAGTCTTTTGTTTTTTCTGATGGAATAGAATTAAACATTCTTGAATGAAAAAATAGCTCGTTGTTTTGCCATCCACCTTTATTTATTTATTTTTTGATTTTGAATTTGGTTTATAAACAAAACAAACAGGCAGAAGTTGATAATATTATGATACTGAGTGAGGGGTAGTTGTTGTAAAGATGTGGAACTTTATAAAGAATAATACGGTGTCCTTAAATGAAGTACCCCTGGAATCAGATGATGTTGTTCAGAGTGTTCAAAAGGTATATTATATTCTCATATTAACTTTTATTTATATTTAATTATTCCAATTGACAACTTATGTTTTTTTTAATTTAGGACATGATATCAAAAACGGATGAGAGTTTTACTCCCTCGACAATTGATAAATCATCTGCAACCAGTCCAATGAAAATATCAAGTGATTTGAAGCGCAACCTCCATGACATTTATGACGTTGATTGTGGAGGTGATTTGAGTTTAACAAAATCTTAAAGAAAATTAATAGGAGAGGGAAATCCACTTTTAGTTCCAAAAGTGGAAAAGTGAGTTGTTTTTTGTTTTAACAAACAAATAATATTTTTTGATGTTGGTTTGGTTTTAAAAAATGTTTGGTTATTTGGTACAATGATTGTTGGAAATGTAGGTTGTTATTGGACAAATTTTAAGACGATAGTTCATTTTAATTTCGATATTTTTTTGGGTTTTTTTGTGGTTACTTAAATGCTTTTGATTATGAAAATTAATAGTCATTTTTGTAATTGATTAGCCGGTTGTAGAATAATATATCTACAATAATATAACAATAATTTCAGAAATATCATTTTTTTATATATATAAAAAAATTTGTAATTTTTTTGAAACCACAAGCAAAAACTTAAAAGGTCGATCGAAATTGTACATACGTAATCAGTGAATTTAAAATTTGATTAGATTTAGCTTTATCCATTTTATATTATCAAAATTTTTTAAACAATAGAGAGCCAATTGCATCATATACAAAACAAACTTTATAAATAATGCAATATAAGTTTTCTAACTATATTATTTATTATATAATTAAATTTTAAATTCTATTTAACATTAACACACGTGGGTTCCATGGGTTTTTACCTAGTTGCATATATATGGTCAAAAGAATGATGAAAGCCTGTTACGATCTGTATTTTGTTCTTACCACTTAATGCAATCAACATTGACCTTTGGTGAAGTTATACTCAAATCACAAACCAAATGAGTAGCCAGGAACAGAACATAACAGCTAGAAACAACAAAAAACCAGAGCATATCAGTTGGAGCAAAAAACAGAACAAGTTTTGCTTGAACGTTGACAAACATTTTTTTTATCCAAGGATGATGTATCTGTGTGATAGTCTTAATTTCCATCTACATTATAGAGAATCAACATCCCTTCACCTGATAATCAAATAAGATCAACTAAAAGTAAGATCTAATCCATCTAAGAACATCACACATGAAGGAAAACATATATTAAAGGTATGAGGTACATCAAACTGTGTTCCAGACAAATTCGATTCTTTACCTCTCTCAACAACCTTCACACCTTGTTCCCGATTTCAACTTAACGAGGGAAAAGAATGAAAATTGGTGGAAATAGGAAAAAAAAAATAAAAGAAATTAGTGTTCCCAAGTTTCATTAAATTCTTACATTTTATGATAGTGATTGAGCCAAATACCCAATTTCATAGATGAGTAACATGAGTTCAATACATAAATAAATAAATAAAATTCAGGTGAATTTCCTGAAAATCTAAGAAACAATTTGTTTCTCAATCATCTACAAAATTAAATATAGGGGTTGCGAAATAACTTGGAGATTGTTTATTCAGGTTTACGTCCCCACAACAATACAATAGCCTCAACATATTGTTTCAGAATCTTCCTTGTATATGTATATATAAAACTGTAATCTTTCTAACCAAGTACCGATGAAATATAAAAGATTATTCTCTTGCATCAATTTCTTCCATTTTTTTGGTGATTTTGGATCAGAATCTTGAAGGTATAACACTTTCTTACCTTAATCTTGACCTTAGACATGGTTAGGGTTTATGGATTTTGGGGTAATTGGTGAATCTTGATGCATGTTGAATCTTTTGTTCTAAAAGTTGTTAAAATTGTTAGGTTACAAAATATGTAAGGTTACTTATATTGGAACTTGCTTTGATTACAAGCAAAAAAGTGTGCAGCAAGAAAAAAATGGAAGATGAGAATTGAAACAACTTTTCTCTTAATAAACTAATAAAAGTTTCTGCATAACTACAATAAACCAACGTCCTTTATTTATACTAATCTAAACGAGTCCTATTCAAACACAAATAAAACACAATAAAAATAAACTTTTTCTAAAAAGATGAAACTTTTCTATTAAACAGTATGGATCAAAACCAATTAACCAACAATCACCCTCTTAATTGGTTTGATCATACCAATCGTTTAAAACACTGTCGGTTCCTCTTTGATTAGACCCGCTTCTTCTTTTTCCCATTTAGGACACTCGTTGCTATAGTGACCAAACTCACAATATTTGTAACATTTAATGTGACTTTTATCCCGGACACGTTCATTACCATTTCGACTTCTCCCGGACCCCCGACCTCTTCCCCGGCCACTTCCAAAGTCATCCCGATTTGAACGTCCATTGTCGCAATGCTTACAAACATGTGATTTTTCCTAACTAGCCAACAACAACCCATCTTGAGTGTCCTCTACTTACTCGGTTCCTCTTATACGCTCCTCGTATGCCTTCAATCTACCAACCGCTTCATCGAATAACATTGAATCCAACTCGAAACATTGCTTTATTGAAGCCACGATTTGAAGAAACGACTTAGACATCGAATCAAGTAACCTTTTCACCAAATCGATTTCTTCAAGCTTGTAACCAAGACTCCTTACTTTTGACGCTAAACCGGATTATTTTGTCACAAAATCATCGACCATTTCACCCTCCTTCATGTGCAAGGTTTCAAGCTCCATTTTTAAGGTTGCAAGTCGAGCCGTTCTCATCCGATCCACACCCAAATACCGTGTTTTCAACCTATCCCACACTTGCTTTGGATCGGTGTAACTCGCCATTTGCAACACCATGTCTTCGGGTATCGCTTGAAACAAAAAAGCAGGAGCTTGTTTTGACTTCTTTTGATCCGATGTTTCACCTAACGCCTTTGGTTCGACTGTCTCCCATATGTCGTGTGCATCCATAATCGACTTGACTTTGACCGCCCACACCAGATAATTCGTTGGAGTCAAAACCAGAACTTGATATGCCATCGAACCTCCTTCTTTAACCAACAACATCTTTTTCTCCTTAACCCCGATCTCTTTAATCAAGCTTGTTCCGAGAGTATTCTTCCACCGGACAACAAGACAAGGTCACGACCACCTTTATCGTCTTCCATCACCCGCAAAACGAACCGAATCAAAGCCACCCGCTTTAATGTCTTCCTGCCCGTTTATTCCGCGCCTCCGGTTAGTCTCTCTCAAGCCCGATTAAGGGTTGCTTGTAATCAACCTCGAATCACACCCGCTTCAACGAAACTGCTCTGATACCAATTGTAAGTTTACTTCTGTTGGTACTTCTTTTGATTACAAGCAAAAAAAGTGTACAACAAGAAAAAAAAAACGGAAGATGAAAATTGAAACAACTTTTCTCTTAATAAACTAATAAAAGTTTCTGCATAACTACAATAAACCAACATCCTTTATTTATACTAATCTAAACGAGTCTTACTCAAACACAAATAAAACACATAAAAATAAACTTTCCTAAAAAGATGAAACTTTCCTATTAAACAGTATGGATCAAAACCAATTAACCAACAAAATATACGCAAAAGATTTCACCAATTACTAACCTACATTCTTGATGTTTATGATTTATTGTAACACCCCTAAACTGACAAGGTAAGCTTTGGAACGCATTGAATGTTGATATTAAGTGAAGGTACTATAAATCTCACATCAATTGTCTCCAATTCCCTAATTGAACAATGGGCCCTACCTAAAGCAACAAAATTATTTTTTGGACAAAATACAAAACAAATGATATACATATACCACAGGGACCAAATTTATAATCTACAATATGTTGTAATTTCCTACATATAAAATAACGAGAAAATGAATTTCATGAGAAATAAAAAAATGTGTAAGAGCTCAACCATATTTTCCAATAATAATACAATGGGCCCTACCTAAAGGGTTTTTCTTTCCATGTGAATGATAAGAATTGAATATGTGGTGCTGGTACCAGTTATTGCTGAAGGTTCAAGTAGACTTAATATTGACTTTTCCATTCCAACATTCTTCTATGATATCTCTATTTTGATCAATGGCTTCTCATTCGTTTTCTTCCATGGCTACTGCTCAACCTTGTTTTAGTTATGATGTTTTTCTAAGTTTTCGTGGTGAAGACACTCGTGAGAATTTTACAGATCATCTTTATACAGCCTTGCAGCAAGCAGGAATCCGCACTTTCCGGGATGGTGATGCAATGGAGAGAGGAAAACTGTTAAAGCCAGAGCTAAAGAAAGCCATCCACGAGTCTGCAATTTCACTCATTGTCTTCTCAGAAGGCTATGCATCCTCTAAGTGGTGTCTAGATGAGGTTATGATGATTATTGAAGAACACGAGACTTCATCCTTTAACCATCAATTCGTACCTGTGTTCTACAAAGTGGAACCAGCTGATGTTCGAAATCAAACAGGATGCTTTAAAAACGCATTTGATGCGTATGATGATGGAATCAAAGCAGAAACAAACCTTGAAAAGAAGAGAGAATTGTTGGAGAAGGTGGGGGCATGGAGGGATTCTCTTAACAAAGCTGCAACCTTCACAGGATTGGTATATAAAGATGGGTAAGCATGCTTCCTCTAATCCTGTATAGAAAAAACAATACTAGTGTGTTACTTAGTATTGGATCTTGATCCTCATTTCACATGAGATCCATCTATACTGAGGCAAACTAATCGATATGATCTGATTAACTCGTCATCTATGCGGATTGAATCTATAAAAATATTGTAAATAGGATTATATATATATTGAGAAAAAATAGAAATAAGTTTTTCTTCAACCTCTTTCTTAAATCACAATAAACAAAAATTAATATCAAATATTTTAGAAGACATTATAGAGAAAAAAATATAGATAGGATGTACACTCGAGTTTGAAGGTTTGTCAAAAATAACGATGCATCTCTATGACTCTATCCATATATAGGGCACCATTTGTGTAGTAACAAGTACATTACAAATCTAATTTCTTAAATTTGATCTTTCTAGGTACGAGTCCAAATTCATAATCAACATTTTGAATGTTGTAATAAAGAAAGTGGACAACAAGGCCCTACACATTGAGGAGAAATTAGTGGGAATAAAGGACAATCTTGCTGAGATCGAATCATGGTTAGAAGATCCGTCGCCTGATGCAGTAGTCCTTGTCATTGATGGGATGGGAGGCATTGGGAAATCAACCATAGCCAAATGCATATTTAACTTACACTTTCGTAACTATGATGGCAGTTGCTTTCTGGCAGATATTAATAAGGACACATCAAATCAAACTAATGGACTGTGTCGCTTGCAGAGGCAGCTTCTTTCCACAATTTTAAGGAGTGAAAAGGAAGAAACTATATGGAATATTGATGAAGGAACCATTAAGGTTACAAATGCCATATCCAACAAAAAGGTACTTCTTATCCTTGATGATGTTGCAACATTAAAACAGTTGGATGCGTTACTAGGACCAAAAAGGTTTTATCCTGGAAGTAAAGTGATCATAACAACTAGGCACAAGGACTTGTCAACTGCTTTCATAGATCATAGTAAGGCCCACTCTGTTGGAACTTTATCTATTGGCGACGCTACTGAGCTCTTCAGTTTGCATGCCTTTCATCAACATCAACCCGTTGAACCCTACATTGGCCAATCAGAACTAGTTGTTCAGCACTGCAAAGGTCTTCCTTTGGCTCTTAAAGTATTGGGTTCTTCCCTACGTCCAAAGACAATTGATGAATGGGAAGATACAATTTGCAAACTAGCAGCAATTCCCCATCCTGAGATTCAGGAAGTTCTACAAATAAGCTATGAAGCTTTAAAAGATGACAAGGATAAAGATTTATTCTTGCATATTGCTTGCTTCTTTGACGGTGAGCAAAAAGACAACATAGTGAAATTATTGACCGGATGTAATCTACACCCTGTCTCTGGGATAAAAAATCTAATGGATAGATGTCTACTATCTGTTGAATATGGGCGAGTGATGATGCATCAATCAATCAAGGAGATGGGAAGAGAAGTTGTTCGCCAGGAGTCAGAAAAGGAACCTGGGAAAAGGAGTAGATTGTGGCAGCAGCAGGACTGTATTGATGTGTTGCAAGACCATAGTGTATGTTTACACACTCCTTTTATATACTTAACTTATCATGCATGCATGTTGAGCCATAGTTTACCTTTTTATGAATTTATCAACTATATAGGGTACAGAAAAAATAGAAGGACTCATGCTTGATAAGTCATTGCCAAAGATGAAGGAAGTTACATCAAGACCGGGCTTTAAAAAATATTTTGGCAAAAGATTGCATGGGAATGATGAAAATTTTCAAATTAGTGCGTTGGAAAAGATGAAGAATCTAGTGCTACTTCAACTAAAAAATGTAGCATTTTCTGGGAAATACAAGAAGTTTCCCAGAAAGTTACGACTGTTGAGTTGGCATGGATTTCCTCTAAAAGCTATACCAGGTGACATTTCATTGGAGAAGTTGGTAGTTCTTGACATGAGTTACAGCAAATTAACACATGTTTGGGATGACTTCAAGGTATGTCTTCTTGCTCCACCATTTCATTTTTGGACCGTGGTTAGTTATCAAATTATTATTTTATAACATGTTTATATAGAAAGTTCTTTATATAATTGTGGTTTTTCGTGTAACAGTATATTGGATCCTTAAAAATCCTCAATCTTAGCGATTCTCTTAACCTTATTGAAACCCCTGATTTTGGTGGACTCCCTAGTCTGGAGAGCTTGATCCTGAGAAATTGTTCGAGTTTAATCAAGGTTGGTAAATTGATTACACACCTTAAGAAACTAGATTTGTTAGATATAACCAATTGCAGAAGCTTGAGGGATCTTCCGTGCTTACCTAAATCCCTTAAATCGCTTCATATGTCTGGTTGCCTAAAGCTTGAAGTTCTTGGATCGATAGCAAATCTTACAGAACTATACTCGTTAGATCTAGACAATTGTATAAGCTTGAGGGATCTTCCGTGCTTACCTAAATCCCTTAAATCGCTTCATATGTCTGGTTGCCTAAAGCTTGAAGTTCTTGGATCGATAGCAAATCTTACAGAACTATACTCGTTAGATCTAGACAATTGTATAAGCTTGAGGGATCTTCCGTGCTTACTTACATCCATTGAATCGCTTGAAATGTCTGGTTGTGGAGTTCTTGAACGGGTTCAATGCTTGGATTCAGTTTCGTCGCTTTCTCTTTTAAAGACAGTGAATTTGCCACGTGCCAATCTCTTTGACCATTCTTTCCCAAATGAATGGAGTAGCCTGGCCTCACTCGTGAAGTTGTATATAGACGGCAACAATATTACCTTCTTACCTAAATGTGTTCAAACCCTACCTAGAATTGAAGAGCTCAGAGTTGCACATTGTTCAAAACTCCAATCAGTTCTAGGTCTCCCAAAATCCGTCAGTCATCTGTTTGTTAATGACAATGAGTCGTTGGAAAAAGTACAGCCTGCACAAAATTCGAGGACCTTAGTGTACCACAGAAACTGCCCAAAATTGTGTGCGATCGAGGGTCGTTATAAGATTCAGTCAATAGATAAAGTTGAGAGGAAAATTATACGATATCTGGGCTTAGAATCAGATGCAGGTGAAGGAATGGAGTTGGATGTTAAGGTGCTTTCTCTTTCTCTTTCTCGTTCTCTTACTCAATAATAAATGGTGTCTGTGTGTGTCACAGGTGTTTCATGAGTTTGGCATATTCAGCACATTTGTTTCAGAAAAACAAACCCCTTTGTCTTCCAGCTTTACGTATCGAAAAAGTGGCCACAACATTTCGTTTAAAGTTCCTTCGAATCGTGACAGTTCGACGATAACTGGATTTAATATATGTGCTGTGCTTTCTCTTTCATTCTTGCAAATGGGTCTTGATCTGGAGATTGGAGTACAAAACAAGACCAAAGATTTGCTGTGGAGTTACTTTAAAAGAGATCAAAATATCCGTAAGAATGCAGGGAAGTTTGCATTGTTAAGCCTTTGGAGGTGTGGCAATCTGTTGGAGGATGGAGATGAAATCGTCATACGTGTTTTTTCTCGTCTAATAGCTGTAGAGGAATGTTGTATAAACCTTATATATGAAGACGATGAAGAATTTATTGATGGGGAAAGAAAGGAGGCTCATGATGTCAATGCCTTTGATCAAATGTTGTGGACCGATAGAATGGATAAAGATATATCGCATTATGTTTTCCCGGGGAAGAAACATGTGTTCCGAGATGACCATCTGGAATATAATGCAAGAAAAGAAAAATGGGAGAGACCAACAATCTCCTACCCATTAATAGCCCCCAAGACAGGAGCCTATATTTCATGAAGGGGATTCAAGATCATGGCTTGTGGAAATGTGACTCCGAATTTGACAAGATCTTCGAACCAATCAGGCCCGTCCCAGAAGGTAAGCGATAGGGGCGACCGTCCAGGGCATATCTTTTAAAGGGGTCCAAAAATTTTACAGACTTTATTAATATAATGTTAGACATGATCGATTTTGAAGATATTATTAGTGATTTTGCATCTCAAAAAGCTGAACAAGTATTTTTCTTTAGATATATATACGTTTTTATAATCGAAAATGTTATATTTAGAAGCTAGTATAAGTATTTTTTTTTCAATTATTAAGTTAATATAAAAAAGTTGATGAAATTTGTGTATTTTAAGGGCCTTTTTTCCTCTTTCGTCCTAGGCCCAAAATATGTTTGGAACGACCCTGGAACCAATCATACATACTTATAAAGCTAACATTTTTTCTTAAATTTCATGCATTTGAAACCTCATTTTTTAACTTCCTCAAACCACATTCATTTGAAACCCCCTTTTTTAACCAATGCAACTCAAAAGTTTTCTTAATTATGATTAAAAACTCAAAAGTTTTATAACTTATATTATGTTTAATTAGCATTTAGTGAAAAGTTTACTATAAAATGTCAATCTTTTGGAAAGACATGCATACAAATCATATACAAATTTGAGAAAGAAAACAAACTTAAAGGTTTTTGTGTTTGGTTAAGGTCTTATGACCACTTTTGGAGATATGCTATAATATTAGAGCTTTTAATTTGTAAGTTTGTTATACTAATTCGTTTTTATATTTTCTTCGTTTTTGGATTATTATAATACAGTCGCTGTATATTGTGGTTAAATTCTTAATATATTGATCATATGTTATATAGGGTGATGTCGAAAATATTTAATTAAATATTTTAAATATGTTTTTTTTTTGTTTTGTAATTGTACCATTTCAAAAAGATAATTAATTAAAACTCATACATATGTTATACTTTCCATCTCTGTCTCTCTGTCTCTCTTTCTCTCACTCTCTCTCTCTCTCTCTCTCTCTCTCTCTATATATATATATATATATATATATATATATATATATATATATATATATATATATATATATATATATATAATAGAGGTCAAAACACTTCAACCAAAATTCATTTAAAATCTAATATTTCAAATGTTTTTTAATAATGATTGTAAAAATTTCAACATGTGTTACTTAATTGACTGATTAATAAAAATATTAATGTTTTGAAACTCCTAACTCTTAAACTTATATTATTTAATTTGTTAGTTAACTAAAATATTTTTCCTACATAAAGATAACATTTTTATGTTTGGTTACTCATATTTGTTTATGTAACTAGAAAACAAGATGTACATAAAATGACTACTTCAATTTCACATAGGAATCGATATCACTAGAGAGGTATGTTGTTTTTAACCGGTGGTAGGAGATCCACATACCCTTTTTAATTATTTATATTAATGCTTAGTAATATCTATTTTATATTCCTATTCACCTTAATTTTTTAGGTACAAATTAAGGAAGAGGATTATCGGCGCACCAACATAAAGTCAAACGTACGCCTTGCAAAATATGTAATTAAAATTAAATATCATATTTACTAATCGACTTATTTTAAAACTCTTAATGACATTTATGTATAATGATATATTTTGTATGACTTCATTCTTAATTTCAATGTTTAATATTTGAAAGTTCATATATGAAACCTTGGATGTTTTGGTGTAATATAAATAGTGTAATACAAAGTTTATTAGTTCAGTTTAATAGCTCATTCAAAACAACTTATTTCTTATTTTATCCAAAAAATATTATCGGACATAAGAAAAGTAGATTATATTAATGTTATACAAAAACTTATAATATATATTTGATATTATAAAAGTAAAAGTAAAATTTATAAGGTATAGACTATATTAGATAATATCAAAATATAAGTTGATGAATTTTTATGTTATTTGATAATTCGGTTAATGCCCAAAACATGACTAAAAACGTAAATTTCAACATATTTCTTTTTTTTTCCCATAATTATTTTAACCACTTAAATACATTCTTGCGCAACACGCGAGGCTACGCCTAGTATTATTATAAATTGCTCAGATTCTTGGGGCGTGTTACACACACGTTTACAACATGTCTCCTGTTTTCTCTTGGAAGTGGAAAATTAATCTTCTTCTTGGATGTCATATCAATACTACCGGGAAACTCCTACTGTCTTATTGGATACAATTTTCGTTTGATCAAGCAGGAGAATGGCCTGTCAAAAAATGTGTGAAATGGTGGGTCACTATATGCTGTAATCACCAGACAAAGTTGAGAGCAAAATTGAGGTGCTTTTTCTATCTCTCTGGTGCTTTTTCTATCACTAGACTGTATTTTTGGGATGTTTCAACTAACCATCTATATTTCCTTTAAGCTTTAGGTATGTTTCAAAAAGGATGATCTGGCAAAGGAAAAGAAGTAAATTTACAAGTTGTTGCTGCTGTCTGAGCCGAAAGAGACATAATTAAAACTTTGAAATAGGTTATATATTTGGTATGCAAACCGAGAGAGAAGAAAAATCGAGAAACAATAATGAAGAAACATACCTTTTTGTTTGTTGTTGCGAGAGTGAGGGTCGAGTGAGGCGGTGACCGGTGGGTCTATTTTTGTTGATTTGCGAGACCGTTGGTGGGGCTATTGTTGCTTTTCAGTTTTCACTGTGGTGAGTGGCGGAGCACCAGTGGTGGTCATCGTTTGATTAGCGAATTAGGTGGTCGTCGTTTGCATCCTGCGAGACGGACTGATGGGGGAGGGTCGAGTAGGTGTTGAGTGTTCGTCGATTAGGTTTAGGATTTGTTATTGTATTTGAGTGTTCAATGGGGGATCCTGATCAGTTTTAGTGGAAGGTGGTTTTATGGTTGGTTTTGGCCAATAAACTGAAACCGAAACCAACTTTTCGGTTTTTACAAATTTGAAATCCAAACCATCGGTATGTGACTTTATCTGTATGTGTGTAAACAATTGAGTTAATAACGAGACACTTTTGTTTTTTTTATTATTATTTTAAACCTGTAGTAAATAGCAATGTATATTATTATTTTTTTTATTTCCTTTATCCTTTTATGATTCTTTCTTAAACATGATAACATGTTTGTTAACATATGCAGATCAATGGCATTTTAGTAACTTTACTCTCGCTTCATATTATATTTGTTTCATATTTACTTTGTATGGGTTAAAATTACCAAATTGACCAAAAAGTCAAAAATGGTAATTTTTTAAAAAAATTTGTACTTTCATTTATGTTTGTTAAATGTTATTCTTGACATCCATGCTTCATACTTTATGAATTCATGATATTAACTGTTAATTTTATTTTATAAACCTACATACATTAGTTAATTTATTAACTTTAAATCTCCATTCAATTATTTTAAAAATGTTCATTTCTAATTAAATGCTTACAAAGTTACTAAAAAAAGCAATATTACAATTCATAAGTTTTTAGAAATTAATTACATGTTATTTTATTGTATAATTACTTTTTTAATTCTGTTAAAAATTATCACCCGTGGATTCCACGGCTTATAACTAGTATTCTAATAAAAGAATATTTTTTTGCCACATGGCATCTTTGTAACCTAAAAACTTTCAATTTAAATACCCTTCAATCTCTAAAATTTATGAAATTTGAATTTCAAAAAGTTACAATAAATATATCCCTATTCTAATAAATGAATAGTTTTAATCTCATTTTGCCAAGTGTCACTCTAATACAACTCCTCATTAATATTATGTCATGTGTCATGTAGATATATTAGACAACTCATTTCAAAATTCAAATTCACATTTCTAATTATATGTTAAATTTGAAGTAATAATAACTTTAAAATTTTGATATATCTCTTAATTAATAATTTATTTAAAATGACTTATTTAAAATAATTGATTAATAATTATAAATTTTTATTATAAAAGTTTAATTAATTTTATAACCGTGGTTCCCGCGGGTTATAAACTAATATATCGATAAACAAAATCCAAAGAAATAAAGGATTATCCTTCAAAATATCTATCACAGTTTCTCCCAAGATTACTTCCACCGATTTCTGTCTTTGCTCCTCCTATTGGTTCTTCAATCATTTTTTTCCTCCTATAACACAATCACTTTTTCTATTTCTTCTCTCCATTCTTTCCTTTCTTTGCACAATAAATTTCAAATCAATAATGCATTTATGATTTGCTTATCCTAATCTCAAAATTTCATGAAGGAAATCTTTTTGATTTTGAATTTTATACTCTAATTATCGACCCTTCACAAAATACACATCTAATTACCACACAAAAATTATTGTCATTCAATCAAGATATGGTTTTAAATTACCATTGTTCAGTTTTACCTACTAATTTTATGGTAATTTTTGAACTGCAAATAAGTGTTATATTATGTTGTTATTATTAGACAAAATTGCAAAAATGGTCCCTGTGGTATGCATTTTTTTGGGGTTTTAGTCCAAATCCCAACTTTTTTGGATTAGTGGTCCTTTTGAGCTAGTTTCGTTGCGGATTTGATCCCTCGGTAAATTGAAATGACTGTAATGCCCTCATAATTTATTTTGTTATGTTTTTTTTTCTATTTAATTTAAATGAAAAAGAAAATAATTAATTAATTTGGGCTCTCTCTCTCTCTCTACACAATAATATGAATTTGAAAAACACTCATTTTTTTTTCTTTAGTGATAAATACACAAGAATATGAATCTCAAGAACACTTGTTTCCTGATTTTAACAACAAGAACATCACATTCACGGAGCTTAGAGTCAAAAATGTCACTCCTCTAATGGCTTACAAACACCACAAGCAAGAGAATGACTTATGAGAGGGAGGAGGAGCACCAAAAACAACTAAGATCCCTTAGGGATTACTTCCACATGTTTTTGGGGCCTTAGGGGTTCCTTATATAGTGAGGCTATTAGGGTTTTGAATTAGGAAACCCTAATCTGAATGCTTAGGCCCTAAGCAGCCCATAGACTCCCTCCTTAGAAGCCTTGGACGAATTCTAATCAGTTTCCCCATAGATTTCGTCCACTCCAACTTCTATGGAGTCCATTAGCCCAATATTCAACTATCGCACAATTGACAGTTCTAGTCCCCTTTATTTAATTAATGTCTTTTAGCCGCAAAATTAATTCTTATTAATTCTTGACTAATATTAATTAAAAAATATGATTTCTCCTTTAATATATTATTCATATAATATATTAATAAATCATAATAACCTCTCTCTCTCTCTCTCTCCATAAATCATCCTATCAAGTTGCTTTGGTGAAGGCAACCCAAAAGGACCATGCACAACCGGGTCAAGTACATACCAAATATAGTTACAGGCTTAGACACTAATCCAACAGTCTCCCACTTGGATAAGTCTAGTAACTATAATGCAAGTACAATCCGATTAGCAATTATAGCTCTTAAAGACGCTGTCGAACTCTGAAATTATCAGCAACCTGTCCTTTAGATAAGGGATCATATATTCCTCCATTCTAGATATCATATGAACTGAGACATGGATTTTAATCATACTCTTTGTTTATGTGTTGTTTCCCGATTTCTGATTTATGACGACTGACAACATACTACAATTGAACACATCAACTCAGTCCCGGCTTGGCCAAGCACTTAGTGGTGTCATCACTAAATCATCGAGGGGCCCACATATATTTCTTTTATCCCACTTTGGGTAAAAGGAACGAATAAACTTTGACTCAGTGCTCGCTTGTACCTACTCATCAAATCACACACAACAATATGTTTTATAACACCAAGTTACTGGTGCGTTTACATATTATCAATGTGCAACCAACTTGCAGAATACAACTC